CGTGACGTAAGGGGTAAAAGAATCTTGAGGTCATGGGGCTTCCCCTGACCTAGATTCTATCTCTCCGTCACTGGCAGAATGGCTGATTAATGCCTACAGTTCAAAATAGTCATTTTGACAGACCGGAGTCTTTGGTGGGTAATTGAACGTAGTGAATTCAGTAATATGATTAGCTCCGCTTGACAAGCCTAGAGCTGAGCTAATAATAGAAATGTTGTGTTCTACGACACTGAGTGCTAGTGAAATATTGTCTTTATGAATGCCATGAAGTCCTGAAGTCGCGGAAATGTCTGGCAGTGAAAATTAATCGGTGTACAACATCCCCAAGATTTTAAAATCAACCACAGCGTCATGTTTGATACGAGTCGCATGGCAGTGGTGCTTTTAAATTAGACCATGATACCAGAAATCACAAACAACAAATTATCTACCCCTATAGACTATAACGATGAAATCACTAACCCTCAGTAAATTTGGGAAATACTTCTCTATAATATTAGTTTGTAAAGAAAGAACAGCAAGATTATCTTGAAGAAACATTATGATATCGAAAGCAGCAGATTCTTCGAGATAGTGTAAGCTGAGTAACTTAGTAAAGAACGTCTCGTAGGCTTGCTGTGGATCATACATCACAGTGTCACCTGTAATATGAAAATAATATGACGTTTTTACGAGGTACTGCAAAGACAGTACAGAGGAAGTATCGACTGATGCGTAAATCTTTTTCTCCCAAGGATACATCATGAGAATGCCGAAATCCAAAACGTTTAGAACATATTTAGCAAACGTCTTTGTGTGGAGTCTGGTCAAACCCGGGGGGCAGCCATGTTTTTTTTTATTTTTTCATTAGAGGATGTTTATGCGCTCCATACATGTATTTGTAATTCACGTTTCCTAATATGGTAGGATGAAAATACCCAGTGCAATACTGCAAAATTACGGCATGCTGTAACTTATGGGATTACAGTGTCAGATGTAGAATATTTACATTCAAGAATACTTTAAAATGCAAATTATTTTGACCATAGACACACCTATTCTTGATATAAGCCCATGCATAGTCTCTCCCCTGACAGTCAACCAATCAAACAGTATCTAAGTATATCATACTATTTGCATGTATTCATATCACCCATGGAGACTCACCGTGGTTACTGTCAACCAATCAAACAGTATCTAAGTATATCATACTATTTGCATGTATTCATATCACCCATGGAGACTCACCGTGGTTACTGTCAACCAATCAAACAGTATCTAAGTATATCATACTATGTGCATGTATTCGTATCACCCATAGAGACTCACCGTGGTTAAGAAAAAACTGAATAAGAGCCAGATGCACCCTGGGATAGTCCATGTTGTCAGCAATTTGTAAATAAACTCGTTTTATTGTCGGAAATAATCTTGCAATGAGTGTGTTATCTTGCTGACATAGGATATCTAATATAGAGAGAACTTCTACTAAACACTGTAAAATCAAAAATACACAAGTATGCAAGGATATGAAATTATATTTGACCAATCTACTTAAAACATTAGTTTTCTTTTGCACTTTCATAACAGCCATTGTTTCATAAAACTGACAAATGTCACCATTATGCAACGGCCAGTTTAAATATTTTATTCAGATTCATTGTTTGATGTGTTTAAAGAGAATTAAATCAACTTGTGGTCACATTCCATAGATAACTAAGAAAACCATCAGAAAAGCACCTGGTTTTGACCAGGATTGGATAAAATACAAAATTTAATATATACAATGTATTAGCTCCCTTATTATATATACAGTATGACCAATATTGTTCCATTCTCATCTAGTTTCTCCTGTGCGTGAGTTGAACTGTAAACTGGTATGTTCTCACATAAAATAACAATAAAGATTACGTGAGCAATTTACAGAAACATTAGTTATGTCACTGATTCTGTGAGATTTGTCGATTTCCGGTTCAACTCGCCTCCATGTGAGCATGGTCATTATTTGACATTTTAAATACCTGATTTCCCATTTTTTCGCCTATTTTGTTATCACTCACATTATCATAATAATTACTGAGAATAGCATTAGGAAATATACTTACAGCGTGCTGTAAATGTCCATCCTGTGCCTTCATTGGCTCTGATAAAACACAAATAATGGATTATTATTATAGTACAATTGTATATAATATTACATGTACACATATCAAAATGTCACAAGCACTATATTTATAGATAGATACAAATCACCCAATCTGATTAAAATCTGATGTAGTGTACGGGCTTTAATTATTTTGGCTATAAACTTATTTTAATTTTATTTTTTATTCCTTTTGTTATTAATGCCTTTTAATTTTACTTTGATTTTGATTTTGTGATTTTTTTTAATTCTGCCCTACATACATCTGACTCGATGCCTATGTAACGAGATTTCAATGAGACCCACTATCGACGATTTTAGTCAACGAATCACAGACCTCCTTCTATAGCACACATGATCACGTCACCGGGCAGAGTCAGGTGGAAAATACACTCAAATAAAATGGTGGATTATACGGACGTTAGCGACCGAGAAAAACACGGCTTTTCGGTAAGTTTATCATTGTCAAATGCAACGAAAGTCATTTTCTATGTTTATATTGTGGCTCGAATGGTTAGATCGTTATTTTGCGTAGTTATTCTGGGAATGACGATTTTGTTTCCACTGGTTCGACCGAACACCGGTGTCTTTTTCCAGTCGCTTGCCCTGGAGACCGGTGATTTTTGTTGATGACCTGTAAATAGCTGTAAATATTCATCAAAATGTATCAACATTTTGTACATTATACAATAACTCTTTATTAAAGTAATTGAGCTGATTTGGACTGGAATAAAATATTTTTTATTTGAAACACATCGCAATTGATCAGGAAATATTTTTTTGTGCCGATGCCGTGGGCCGGTGACTGTATACAATTTAAACTCAGTTTGCATTGTTTACTATAGCTGTTTACAGTGTTCTAATCATTACGACTTACTTATTTTTTTGCTTCCATTCTAGATAATTATGCTCAGTGTTTGATGTAAAATTGAAGCGATGACTAAAGAAACGAACCTTGGCTGGCGAAGATGTATCACGAAGTGTACACATTTGTTGGAAGTGAAAAAAAATATTCAATGTAATGACAAAAATTGTAAAATGCTGTGGAATCTCTTTTGTTAATAATAATATACTAGCAATTTTCTATTAATGGTTTATTCAAGTATCGCTACACTGAAAAGTAAGCAATCTACAGCCTGTATAAAAGGGGAGCTGTGATTGGCTGCTACTTACGTGAGATTTGAACGGGACTTACATAGGCGTCAGATCAGATGTATGTAGGGCGGAATTAAAAAAAGTCACAAAATCAAAATCAAAGTAAAATTAAAAGGCATTAATAAAAAAAAGTAATAAAAAATAAAATTAAAATAAGTTTATAGCCAAAATAATTAAAGCCCATACACTACATCAAATTTTAATCAGATTGCAAATCACCAACCCCACAGTATGCTATGCGTGATTAAAAAGTACATGATTTGAATGTGCATGAATGAGTGACTGTTAACACAGTACTCTCTCACACACAAATACCATGTGTAGATTGGTGTCACATATCTTTTCGAAATGAATAAATCCAAAGGACAGAAATGCCAATATATTGTATTTTTAATTAAACATTGGGGAAAGAAGTTGGAAACTATGGGACATCACTGCTGAATCATCTTTGTCAACAGCAAACAAATCAGATGAAAAATAATAATAATCGTATAACCATTCTTGGGGGCATCATCATCTGGGCATTTTAATCGCCTGGCAACCAGGGAAAACAAAGGCCGAAAACTCCCAGAAAACGCTACTTTGTGATAGTTGTTGAAAATTTCCTCAACAGTTTAACTAGATTACCCATATATGTTAAACATATATAAATTTGTTTGTTCAGAATTACTTCAAAGTTGAGTTTGTGCTGTTTTTTATTGACTTTAGTTTTTTTGCTCTTCAACTGGCGTATCATGTACAGCAGCTTGTGCAGAACCCAAAGAATTACATTACTATGCGTCTTAGCAACATAGAACGTTATGTAGCTCCGCCCCCCCGAGAATATAAGACTGGAGTGAAAAAATTATTTCTTACTTCTCTCACATTGATCAATGATTCTAAGACAATATTCGCATGATTTCTCTTTCAATACACCTCTAGCTCTCGTGCTGAATCCACTGCTATAGGATTCTGAGGTCTCCAGGCTGGCTTTATCAAGAGGTATAGCACTAGGATGACTGGAAATCAACCAACTTTTAAGCATGGAAAAACTATGAATATTCAAAAGCTGATCTCCACTGTAATAATGTCCGATACTGAGTATGGTGAAGATATCACGTGACGCCGTGCCGTCTATGTCAGTCACCAAGCTACCCTGAAATAATTACCGGTATTTATTTTAAGTAACATGGGATAAAGCATGAAGGAATTGTACTGTCCTGGTAACTAGTGCATAAACATGTAAGAGTAATTAGTACTACGCTGAAAGAAGCAATCAGTTTGGATGAAATGTGAATGTTGCAGACTTGGACTAAGCTGGAAAATGCCTGTTGAATGTATTTGATAGGAGAGTCAGTGTCGCAGGTATGTCAAATTTGAATAATTGATATGAAATGATGATGATAAATACCTCTTCTCCTTTGAAAACTTTTCTTGAGAATGGATTTTGTGCTTGATGTACGGAAGCATTTCGTAACCAGTCAGCTAGCTGTGAACTCACAATGTGCATTTGTTCTGCTCGACAATTAACATACAGACAACAATAAAGCCAAATCTGACAAATTTGGTAATAATAAACTAGAAAGTATTGGGTTGCGATTTTTATATTTAATATTAACTATTCAATAAATACGTACAACTATTTAGTCAGTCAGTTGGTCTTACATTTCTCTGCCTAGTAAATTGTACACATATATATTGCCTGGATATCATATCAAATCACTTACCTTTATCTAGTATGCTTTGATGCAACATCACTGCATTAGCAAGACAAGACAGCGATCTAGTTTGTATTTCATAATCAAAACCAACGGTCGAAATCCACCGAACTAGCTGCGGGATAAATAACTTCTCTAACTGGCCAATGTTTCTTCCCTGAAAAACAACATGGATAACATCTGACACAATGTAAACAAACATTTTACTCATAATTTTGATGATGAATTGCAATTATGAATACTGTATTTGCCTTATATATAGCACATGTGCTTACGTAAATGACAGATATGTATTTATAATCAAAAACTTTTAATGATCCAGCATACAATGCTGCATTGTTTTGGTTAATGGGTGCTCCTAATTAATAGACAAAATATGGTAATATATTGTAACAATAATAAATGGAATATCGGAACTCTACCTGATTATTCACTACAGGCAATATATACGGTATTTGTTTGTCATCTGGTAATGTATTCATACTATCAATAACAAGTGATTCTGTTGGACAATATTCACACAGTACGGTATTACATGCTATTCGAATCCTTCCACTACCCTGGTTTGGCTCTATTAGCAATCTTTTAAGTCGTGTCACCAATTCCTTGGGTAATCTGTCAACAATAAAATATTGTAAATGTTAACCTTAGTTCTAGAATCTGAAATATCCAAATGCAAAACACATTTGAGGAGAAATAGGTGTAATGAAAATACACAGAAGACATGTATCACTATACTAGTTTCACACCTCTCCACACATGCAGGCATTGAAAGACTTGCAAATAGGGGATTCCTGAATTACCGACATACGCGATGTAATTCTATTTGCACATACGTAACCTACCCAGCAACGGGTGAGGGTAGGACAAAAATATAAAAAGTCAAAAGAACAGTGTCAGTGGCATATTTCAAAAAGATAGCGGAGCAAGTGTGGGTGGGTGGGTACAAACGAGGGCAGCTAGAAAAACTATTTAAGACAGCTAAGAAACGTGGATTTCCAGTTAAAAAAAAGATGATTTTTCAAAGAAAATGGACTGAAATAGAGATGGCACGTGTGTGTTTCACATTTGTGACAAAAATATCCGCAAAAAATATGAAAATATTATGCTATAGCCAAAAATAATTAGCTTGCTCATTATTCTTGCTTAGGCAGAATAGTGTGCAACTTTTCAGAAGCTAGTACGAGTTAGTTTTAAGATGATGGTAGTTTTATTTCAGGAGAACTTTTATGTTGCGAGTTGGAAACAGTGATGTTCGGTACACTGCGATTCTGCACGTTCAGAACGTTCAAATCTGTCCTACCTTTCGGTTTGTTGCTCCCAGGTCACGTGATATGTGCAAGCAGCACAAACAATGAACGCGCAAACACTATCAATTCGGGAACCGGGAATTCACCTGGTTAGCAGAAGCCCAGTCTGAATGGTTATCACAGGAACATCAAAAATCACATAGATCCTTTCTGTTTCTAGATATCACTTACGTCTTTCAAATTTGGTACAAAATATCAATGAATATAGATGCCTGAGTGAGGTGAGGTGACCTTGTCCTTTGTCATTGGATTCTAGAGTGTGATGAACCTTTGTTAGATAAATTTTGAAATCTTCATCATTTACTGACCTATTCAAATATAAAATACAGCTGTATTGGTAAATAGGACAAGACAATGAAAGATTATGTCAACCTAAATCTGTTCATTCCATGTTATCTATTTACATTAGGTATGTTAACTCAATATCACTGGTAAGGCTGAGGAATAAAAATCTGTTTCTCGTTTCCGCACGCATCATTTTGAACTATGCGCCTCAGTCGTTTTTTTCCTTCTAAAGCATTCAAAAATGCGCTTGTACTCGCACTTGTCTCAAATTTTCATGAAACGAGAAACAGAGAATTTTTTTTTCCTGGCCTAATAGAACATGTTTTTTTTTGTGCCAGGCGACAGTTCTGGACATTGAATGTTACTGTTGTCTCTCCTGACTTTTTTTGTATGTGCAAATTGCAATGATGGTGTGATACAAGAAAATATTCTGCTTTTGTTGATTTTTTTTTGCATGTCTGTGTTACGCAAATTTATGGGAGGAACCATAGCTCTTCTGTGTCTATAAAAATCCTAATGTCTGAAAATAGCAAATTTAATGACACCAAATGTATCAGAAATAACTATCATTTAATATACTACATGTATAACTTTGCAGCAACAATTTTACCAAACTTAAAACTGTTGTTGTGGTCTTATAAGTTAAATACTTATATACTACCGGTATACACTGGATTTACAATAAAGCATAGCTGTTAAAATTTCATTTTAAAGAAAGCCCCGCCCCCAACAATAAAACATTATCACTGGAGGGCACATTGCATCACGGTTACGTAATTGCATTTACGCCCAGGGCACATACCCGGGGGGATCACTCTATATGCCGTTACTACCCCATGTGCGTTCCAAATTTAGCGGGAAAAGGGGTGGTTTTTCACTTTATAAAGCAGGCCCGCGCGGGAGGCAAGTAGATTTAACAAATTTAAAATTCTAATGTCTGCAATAGGCCCCCAGGAACAAACTCACAGGGTTGCTGCACCCGCTGTAAGCCTTCTCTTGCAACTACCACTCCCATACACCACTACTACTGTTGATTACACCCCACTTGAGTGAAAAAAAAAAACGACAGAGAATGCTCGCAATAGGAGTAGGATGTCTGCAATAGGGGTGTTTTTTCTTCTTCAATATGTCTGCTCTAGGGGGTACTAAATTTATGTGCTGCCAGCTCTCGGGGCCTATTATTTTTTAGCAAGAACGTACACGGGCGAATTCAATGATAGTTTTCACTGAGAACTACAAAAACATTCACCGTCTTTGTTGTGTCAATCAAAGCTGAATATTCTCGCGTGTCTTAGGTAAAAAAAGGAATCAAATCCAATATAACAAACCTGAGTTGATCAAATAGATTTTCGATTGCAGAAGGTCCCGCCATTTTGATTAGTTTGCTGGTAATTGCTTTTCTCGTGAGTCTCTCGTCAGCTTCCCTGCGCATGCGTTGTAAGATTACCCTTAGCAACGATCGCTGTAACCTCAACGAGCTCAGAATAAGTTGGCAATCAAAACATCGGTGAGTTCCGTCCACAGTTCGTTACTTATTTTTTGAAATTTTACTCCATATAGGATTCACATTGGTTGCCTTCCTGAAAAGGCGTTTCCTTGTATTGCTATGTTTTACATTACTATCAATATTACTCAAAAAAAAACGAATGAAGCTTGTCGAACGAAGTCTTGTCCCGCAGCTCGTCTCAACGCGGGCTTACAACAGTTTTTATCTTTTACAGCTGCACTGGTTTTTTGCCAGCCAATTTGCTGATCTGTGAAGATTCAATACTTCAATTTGTATCTTATATGTACGATTCGATTAATATTGTTTTGCCATGTTGTCCGGGACAGCATGATTATTTGTGTCATGGCGTACTGGTGTGTTTTAAACTGACTCATGATGCCCCAATCGTAATAAGTGATGTCCTGAATTTTGTAACCTTTATTGATTATTGTGAAATGTTTAATTTGAGCTGCAGGCAGTTTTTTTGTTAATGAAATTGGAAATATTGTCAACATATTCAAAATCCACAGCGCCAGTTTCTACTGTTATATTGGTTGGCACCATTGAATGATTCTCTGGTAGTAATTACGAGATACAAATATCTCGTAAATTACTCACATTTTAGTTTGTGTTTGGTTACACTAAAAACAATAACATTACTAAAATTTAATTGCTTTCAACCAGTGAAAACTATTTCTAAGTAAGCAATCAATTTATTATTTTACAGAATTGTTGAGTTGTTGCAATAACACTGGTTCACCATGGAGATAGTATACGTGTATACGAAGAAGCGAAATGAGTTCGGTCGACAGTGTAATTTTTCCGACAGGCAGGCTGAACTACATGTCGACATATTGCCTGATGAATCGTTGACAAGTAATTTTATTGAGAAGAATCCTGTTGATTGTGGTTTACAATGTGTCCAAGAAATGTCCGAACATGAGGTAAGCAGCTGCACTTTGTTACCTATACATTATTTTCTCAGTAGCTTGTGTTGTTCTCAGACACAGATTTCTACATTTGATATTGTAGTTCCTGAGCAACTTCCAATTTGATCTGCGAAAATATGTAGTCCATTGCATGTTTGTTTACCAATGTTATCTGTTTTTAGCAGTTACCATATTTGCTCTATTAGTAGAATATAGTAAAATAGGTATCCATGGTCAAAATAATTCAAATTTTAATGATATCAAGCACACAGTACAATGCAAAATTAACTCTAATATTGATATTTACAGAATAATTTAGATATAGTATTCATTTATTTTGTACTATTCGTCTGAAATGTATGATTTCCACATATACCTGCTTAAAAAGAAAGATAGGCTTACTTTAAATTGTATTCTGTCCCCCGTTTGTTACAGATTAATACAGAAAGATATGAAACAGAAAACAGAGGTATAAACCATGTGGAAGGAGGCTGGCCTAAAGACGTCAACCCACAAGAAGTAGAACAAGTAATGAGATACAGGAAGAAAGTTGAGAAAGATGAGATGTACATAAACACTATCCAACAGCTAGGCAGTGTAAGTATCCAATGAGTTCCTTGGTTTTCCATATTCTATAAATAAGAATATCTGTGAAATGAATTAAATATATTCCAACAGTAAAAACTTAAAGGGGAACTAAATAGAGCCTATTTTGGTGTTTGTATTCATCAAGTTATGTATAGTGATTATAAATTTGAAAAAAAAAATTTGAAAAAATGATTATCTTCAGAGTTATGATGATTTAAATATGAGAAACCATAAACCTGCGAAGGACTTCCGTTTGCGCCATCTTGCCATAAAAAAGCGCCCTCATGAAGTATAAACAGGTAAGATAACAAAGCATGATGACGAAATAGTATCTGATTAAATATAAGCAACTTAGGGAGCCATAGTTGGCTGGACTGGTGAATTGATTTCTAGTCTATGTTGTTTCGACTTTTACGTTATTGTTATTTACAAGCGTATCAACATACAAACATTATGGATGTGCAATTGATCGAGACGGGCATTTTGTTTTGTTTTTTGTCTAACTGTCTAATAAATGCTGTTTCCAGTATTGCACTGTGCGGCGTGCAAATTATTCAAAGTATGGATGCTGGAGTTCGTAGGGTGGTGATGGAAACATTTTCGTTCATGTATTCACGGGGCTGCACTGGCAAATCATGGGACAATTGTCACAGGAACACCAAGCAGATTGTTCACAGACCTCCCGTGTAATTTGAAATAAAACTATTATCCGAACAAGGGGCATCGTCGACGATATACTCTCATCACTCACACTGGACTGATCTGAATCTTCACAGTATACCGTACTTCCCTGATCATAAGCCCGGAGGCATGAACACGTAAGGGAAAAGTAAGGGATGAGCTTATACTCGAGGACCAGCTCAGAAAAGATGATTTTGTTTTGGGGTTAAACACTGTAACCATCTTGCTAACAATGAAAAATTATCCAAAACAATTATTCGTTCACCACGCTGGTCTTGGGAAAATAATATTATTTTCGGGAAAAAAAATGCGTCATTGATTTACTCGACACTTACAATGAAGAAACAAACATGCTCATAAAAAAACACACACATTTTATTACAATACAATTTACATAGCGTCAGAATTTACGGTGAAATAATGGGTAGGATCTGTGAGGAGTGGACGAAGGCATTTATTCGTTTTGGTATGTTTTCGATCGTACGCAAACTCAACGCAAAGCAATTTTCCACCATGAGGTTTTTCAGCACGATTTGACCTGGAACAACTTCCTTTGACATAACAGGTCATGTCTTTCATTAACCAATCAAAATGATGTGTCGTAATGATGAAATTTTCCGATTATTGACGATGATTTTTTAACGCAATGCGGAAGTGAATTACCGCAATGTTAAAATGCGATCTGTAGCACTGATTGCAACGAAAAAACGATGATTTTTTCCCTAAAAACTGGCGATTCGCAATTTCCGAAATATAAACGACGGTTAATAGTAACCGTGGGTAAACTTAGCGTAGAGGATGAATTTCACGGTCGCCAACATCATGTCACATCGTTCAAACCCAAGGCCTTTCATGATAGTCTCAAAGTAAACCATGCCCAATAACCAGGTACACGACTTAACGATCACATTTTTGGCTTTTCGAAAGCTACTACTCAAAGAAATATGGATTACTCCAGTATTGCAACATCGGGGTTCATCCTGAGTAAATGACAGAATGGAAAAGATGCGAACCACGTTGTGTACGTTCGCCATGTACTCTGAAATTAATGCGAGTTTTCTCATAAAAAAAACACGAACCAAACTACCATGCCAATCACGATTATTATGAAATGAAACACACCTTTTACACGCATATTTTAAAGAATATCGTCGACGCCCAGTAAAAACACTCTGGGCTTATAATCGTGAATGCTCTCAACTCGATAAATACCTACCGTAAAATCTGTATTATAAGCCGCATCCCTAATAGAAGTCGCACCCATTCTTTTTGAATAATTGAGAACCAAAAATTCACCATTTTCCATATGTGTAGATGCTCTAATAAAAGCCGCATCCCACCTGTTGCATTGTACCATTTTAATAGAAGCCGCGGTTTCTAATACAGATTTTACAGTAGTAAATATACTGAGGTTCAAACGCATAAGGCTCTAACCAAAGTTTTAAAAAGCACATTGTGCATATAAAAGTTGAGTTTATACTAGTAGTACACAATGCTTGGCAGCATGAACGGCTATGTACAATGGCATATACGAATGCGATCGGATACTAAAACGTCATAGCTTTGAAAAGTACCCGGATGTTAAATATGTTCGTTCGTTGTTTATTCCCCTCCATGAATGGCCTCCATGGTGTTTAATTGCAAGCACTTCAAATGCCTATCCAAACTACAGTTATAATTAAAACAAAATTAAACCACTGCAATATTATTTCGAATACAATTTAGAATATACACAACTATAAATTAAGGCCGCATTTAGGTTCGCTTTAAATCATCACAGGAAAAATGAGGTCATCAAGGAAGTTTTGGGGATAAAGTAGGCAAATACTGTGCATTCTTAGGCATCAGTCTGTGTATTGTGCTGAAAATCTTCAGAAAGTCTCATAAGTACTGGGCCAGCAAGTTAGCAAAATTTGATTTGATTTGATTCAGTTCTGTGAAACCTTATAAACTTGTTTAAAATTCGGTGGTGATAGAATGATGGGCAATATTCAAATTGTAAGACATCTGCTTTAGTCAAAACTGAAGTGGCAAATTAGTGAGCAAGTTTCAAAGGATTTAAAAATTAATCAGTGATTATTTGTCTTAAGTTTCTCTTACTAAATGTTTGTTCTCATAGAATATCGTATGTAAGTAAATTTGTTAATAAAACAATGTTGTATTTTTCAGGTAATGGAACATGTAATCAAACAAAACAATGCTATAGATATTTATGAAGATTACTTTGAAGATCTTCATGTTTCCGAAACAGAGGAACCACCATCAGCCAAAACTATTAATGTTTTTAGGTTAGTTGTAATATGCATGATGAGCTTTTTTTGGTAGTGTTTATGCTTTTGGAAAAACAAATTATATCAAGTATTAGAATCAACATTTGCTCCCACTAATGCTTTATGGGTAAAAATTACTGATGATAACTTGACTTTTCTATGTGATGTACATGTGTAAATCTAAAAATGTTTTTTCAGAGATCCGAATGAAGTAAAGCGTACAGCAACTAACCTGTCCTGGTACCCTGATGGTGCACGTAAACTAGCAGTTGCTTACTCTAATTTAGAATTTCAAAGGTCGTCTCCTGATACCAGTATGGATTCATACATCTGGGATATAGGTAAAGTCATACAATATCATTGCTAGGACAACATTTACTGTGTCTTCACTTTCATGCAAATATGAAGTACACTCGGTAGTTGAGAATATGAATCTTTAGAGGGTTCTTTGTGGACCATTGAAGGATGTATTGTGACCACTACCACTTGTTTTCACTGTTGTTATGAAGCGGTGTTTGCCAAAGTTCAGCTGTATTTTAACCGTTTTGATTGTTTTGGAGAGTGAATTTCACTCGTACTGACAGATGTACAGTAAAATAATTTATCTCTATTTTCACTGAATCGGTGTTTTAGGAGGAAATAAAATCAAGCGAATCTAGTTATTTTCCTATATGTTATATTCAACTCATCAAAAATCAGTGAAAATAAAATCCACACAAAACACCTAAGAAGTATTTTCAGCAAAAATTAATTCCAGCTAAAATAAAGAATTTAGAGTAGTCACTCAATTATGTGTATTTGTGCCCTTGTTCAAGAATATTTCTTTTGCTAACTAATAACTAAACACCCAATATATATTTGTTAATATACAAATGCATCTCATTTTATAACTGATATTGTTTTATTGATGATATTTATGTTTGTTTCATTTTACAGAAAATCCCAACAAGCCAGATTTCACAATAAAGCCAGTTTCACCATTAGTGACTTTGGAGTACAATCCTAAAGATTCACATGTGTTGGTTGGTGGTTGTTACAATGGTCAAATTGGTAAGTTATTTATACCATTCCTATAAATTACGCCCTCTAGTGACGGAACGATTTCGTGACATCAAAGTTACTGTTAAACCATTTATTTTCACTAACATTTAATTATAGTATTTTGATGTTTTGAGCTTATTCCGTGTGTTTTAATTTCATAAATTTGTCTAGAAACAATGAGTTTTATTGTTATTTTACATGTTCATATAGATTTAATTTTGCCAATTTTACTTATCAGCAAAAATAGCGAAATTAAAAACCAGTGAAGCCAATTTCTTTTAAATTAACAATTGTATTTGTTTGTGTAGTGGTTTAGTCAGCTAAAACGTAGTAAAATCTCTCAAAAACTATGGATCAAAACAATATCGACTGTCATCCATTCACATCATAGAAGTGCTATGTCACTAAAGTGTGTGATTTTTGAGAAAGGTGTATTCGGTCTTGCTCTGAGTGGCTAGTATAAAGGTGTGGTCCATCAAGAACATTTTGTGCCATCTGCCAAGGTTTTAGCAAATGAAAAATGTACCCACCCATAAAAAAAAGTACAATCGACATGTGTAATTTTTAAGCAAAAAACCCAACCATATTGTTGGCTAAAACATTGCCACCTTACTACTCCTTTCTGTTTCATGAAATGTGTTTCATATATGCAAATAATAGATCAAAGAATTATATTAGATCACTTGTACCTTCTTAGTTTGTTTAGAACACTGTCGGCTCATGAGTGTATGGTAATGAATTAAAAGCAAACATAAATACAGAATTGCTGACTAATGTTCCTTGTTTTGTAGCTTACTGGGACACCAGAAAGGGCCCTAGCCCTATAGAAATGTCACCTGTTGAACACAGTCATCGTGATCCAGTCTATAAAGTCATCTGGTTGCAATCCAAGACTGGTACTGAATGCTTCTCTGCATCAACTGATGGACAAGTGTTATGGTGGGATACAAGGAAATTAGGTGAACCAACAGAGAAATTAATCATGGATGTTTCAAAGAAGCAGGATCTGGAGAAAGCTCAGGGAGTGATTTCATTGGAATATGAACCCACCATAGTAAGTATACAATACCTGTACAGGAATAGGAAATGTATATTATTTTTAACAACTTACAGGCTAAGGGTTGTTATCAAATTGGTAAAGTTCACAAAAAACAAAAACAAAAGTATTTCAAATGCAGGATATTTTTGTTGAACTGACCACTACAAATTAATGTTTGCCACCTAGAAGAAATAGCCCCCTCCTCCTCAATTACCAGTACCTTTCATTTTTTTGGCAAACTTTGACAATTTGAGAACGCCCCTAACATACTGCAACATGTAACATTATCGTATAACCGTATAACCATGTTTCCTAAAGATCTTGAGGAATATTTGTTTTAACTGCAAAATTCCTCACCACAGTATCATAGCAGTTTGTTAATCTCAATAAATTATTAACTAACTACTTGTTCATTTTATTTCTCAGCCTACTAAATTCATGGTTGGTACAGAACAAGGCTGTGTGATCTCATGTAACCGTAAAGCTAAAACACCGGCAGAGAAAATTGTAGCTGTCTATAATGCACATTTAGGACCAATCTATTCGTTACAAAGAAATCCATTCTTTCCTAAAAACTTCCTAACAGTTGGTGACTGGACAGCAAGGGTAAGTATTAGCACTTGTATATTGTATATTTCCTTTTTAGTGATGAATATATTGGTTCCTTTGTTTGGGGTTTTTACCCTGAAAGAAGTGTTTGCATATTTGATATAAACATGGATATTGTTTTTTGTAGATCTGGTCAGAAGATATACGAGAATCCTCAATAATGTGGACCAAGTAAGTTGTCGTAGTCCTACTAATCACACTTTTTCATAATAGAAATATTAAACATTATTTGTGAATGAAATAAAATGAACCTAAATTCCATACTGTGTTTTTTGACATATAGTGTGTTATTGCTACTGATAGGTACCACATGTCCTATATGACTGATGGCTGTTGGAGTCCTGTTAGACCAGCTGTATTCTTTACAACTAAAATGGATGGTACATTAGATGTTTGGGATTTCTTATTCAAACAAAACGACCCAACACTCAGTTTACAAGTAAGTATGAAATATGAAATGTAGTGCTTCTTGCTGTTAAGTCTCACTGGTGTATCCAATGAATTGATGGTTTGTTGCTTGAACATGTTACCATGACAGTATGATGAAGTACAGCAATATTCCTGGCTATGTCTCATAACATACTATGTTGCTTGGATGTACACCACTGTATAATGAATTTCTATGGGCTACCGTATGCAAGAGCTGCTGTGGAACACCGATCCAAAACAGTTAAGGTCAAGAAAATAGCACAAACTCAACTTTGCGGTAATCCTGAGCAAACAAATTTTTGTATGTTGCACATGTAAGGGTAGTCTTTTTACACTGTTCACGAAAGTCTCAACAACTAACCATTTACATTTTATGAAAGTTTTTGGCTTTTGTTTTCACCGGTGAAAATACACCGTTATTACTCTGATTACTAATCTGTTTGTATTTTGATAGGTAACTGATGAAGCCCTACATAGTTTACGTATTCAAGACCAAGGTAGATTTATTGCCACAGGCTCGCACAGCGGTACCACTACGTTACTGGAGTTATCCAGTCGTCTATGTACGATGCAGAGAAATGAAAAAGCTCTGGTCACATCAATGTTTGAAAGGGAAACCAGGAGGGAAAAGATCTTGGAGTCCCGTCATCGTGAAATGAGGCTCAAGCAACGCACAGCTAGCGGAATGGAAAGGCATGATGATGAGGATGGTGACCATCCCGCTGGCGGTGATGATTATGAAGAGGAAGACTTAGTTGCGCGAGCTGAGAAAGACTTTTACGATGCCATTGAAGCTGAGAAGAAGAGTCGGGAAGCTAAGGAAGCTAAGAGAAAAGAAGCAGAAGCTGCCGAGGCAAATATAAAGGTGCATATTACAAATACATCTGTGCTCAATTAGAAGCAAAACCTGAAAAAAAAAGCCATTTAAACCATTGTTTTTTGGGGGGCTTCCTGCTTTTTGAATTTCTCATCAGAGATAAATCTTATTTAAGAATGACCAATTTATTGAAATGAGTACAAATATACTAGCTTCAAGTATAAGTACATCAAAGATACTGACATTTCAGATAGAGTAAATACGATAGATGAATCTGTCACATACAACATTGGCTTGCATGGAAAATTATTTCAGCTGTATTAATAAAGCTTAGTATGGTTATGTGTATCAATCAAGGGAGACTAGAGGGAATTAAATATGTAATATTTTAATAACTTTATGAATTGAAAATTGTTAAAATATATTTTAGTGAATTCACTATGAATAAATATGTATATAATGTTGTTTTTACAGGAGAATGGTGATGAAAAGATTGATGAAGAAAAAGATGTAAGCATTTTTTCTTCCTTTTTTTCTTACATACCGGTACATATGCAAATCAAATTAAGTGACAAAAATGTTTATTTATTTCTTTATTTAACATGTCTACTGCATATTATTTTTTCTTCTTTTAGGATGAGAATGCAGAGTAGAGTGTAACATTGGAATTAACTGCCATGAAGTTGAGATACAAGTTTGAAGTTGAGATACAAGTTTGAAGTTGAGATACAAGTTTGAAGTTGAGATACAAGTTGTAAACAGCATCTTTCAATGAAAATGCGTATTTCACACAACCGGATACAGAGCTTAACCGACTTATCTCTCATGTATATAAAAATAAATACAAAATCTTACAAGTTATTAACTCATTAAGACTTTGTTCATACTTACCAGGTATCTTTCTTACTTACGCATAACAAAAATGTAAAAAAAAATGTAAAAAACACGAAAAAACTTAAAATACTGGCAAGTCTCTTTTTGCATTGATTTGCTACAAAACATGTTGGTCAAGTAAGAATAATTGTAAATATAATGTACGAGATTCATTGGTAATTTGGTGCAAATATTGGAATGTCTTGTCTTTAATTTCAATGTGTAAAACAACACACTGGTATATACCGGTAGTAAGACTTGACAACCTGCAACATGACTTGTACATGACAGTCTACAGCTACAAATATCATTATTTATGCTAATCTATCGTGATAGTATCATTGCGTGTACCATGTATATATTTATAGTATTAGATTTATCTACAATTTTTGACAAAAAATAATTGTTGTAATCTTTTGAAGTATGTTATTTTGAATGTCAAAATGTGTTTTTTTCAAATACTTATTTCAATAAAATATTTTTACCAGACAACCATGTTTGTGTTGTCAGTACATAAAGTAGTAAAGAGCGTGGTATTATTTGTTTGATGGCAATGCTCACAAGTAAAGACAAGTTATTGGATTTGTACTAGTCTTTATTTAGTACAGAAAAACAGGATGTGTACGTCCAATTTACTTTGCACAGTTTTTAGTGTCTGGCATTTCTGAACTTAGAGCTTGGCTAAGTGTTGAAAAAGAGTTCTAACAATGACTTTGTTATTATAAATCAGTAGTGCGATTTGGTTGGGATAGCTTTACAAAATAAGACATCTAAAGAAAACACTCTTCATCAAGTGATATGTACAACAAAGTGCCTATGCAAATAGGCCTGTTCCACTGACAGCAATAGGGTGAATTTATTTTCATCATGGTACAAGTTGTTAATCGCAACTCTTAGCAATATTGTTTCAATGCAGTACCCACAGTAATGGTGAGCATCTTGCCTATGGTTATGTCATACATACCAGTACATACACCTTTTCTATAAATTGTGCTCTCTAGTGACGAAAAGATTCAATTATGTAATGGATGACTGAAAGACTGCTCAAACCGTCAATATCATGTTGATTAGTAGTCGTCCATCACGACTACACAATCAAACACAGTAGTCGATGTGAACGAGATTGCCTTCACCCATTTACGCATGAAGCCACAGAAGCGTTACATCACTAGGGCGCAGTTTAAAAAATCGTGCATCACGAAATATTACAATTGCTTATCATGAGGCATGAGAAAGTTTTACAATTTTTATTTAGGAACATGATTGGGAAATACTATCATTAAATAGAGAAGTACAGGAGCAACCTGTTTTTGACCTTTTCTGCATGACACGCATATAAAGTAAGCCCTCTATCTACCGTACTTCGCTCAGAATGCACTTGGTAATTTCACGGTTACTAGAAGAATCATTTTCTGTCGTCTTTTAAAATGTCCGGGGAAAATGCGTCTGCAAACGTCTAGAATCTATCGAACAGCCAAACCAGAGCCTGAACGCAAGTTTTTTTAAATTATGGCTAAGCCGCTGGGGGTTATAATTATTTGGTCTCAAGCAGACTCGAAATTGTAACTGATTCTGTTTGAATATGCACGTTTTCTAGTCACAGCAATCTTTCAACATTTCGCTGACCGCATATTTGCGACAGTATGACTCTGCGTATTTTCTATTTCTGATGAATATATTAAAAAGGATTACTCAAGTTGGGGTAAAACCCTCAAATTCACAAAAACAACAACAAAACAATGCAGCAACCTGTCCGATTGATCGCCGCCATTCAGCTTTGAGTAAAATTAGCGGCAAATAAAAGGCACTGACTCGTTGGACTTCATTTGCCAACTTCGTAACGGGTGATACTAAAACAAAAGAGCGACGCAAAGTGTTTTTAAATGGGATGCGTTACTATTACAAAAGTATCCTCAAGATCCATATATCAGAGGGAAATTCTTTCAAACCCATAAACAGTATAAAAAACTAATCAAACATAAAAGTAATCAGAAAAAGATTGCCCAACTCAAAGAATTGGAAAATTCAAAAGCAGACACATCTAAATGTTGGAAGATTCTTCGTGATATGAATGGCGAAAACCCCAGTAATAATCATAATGGAAATGTTCAACCTGGTGATTGGTTGGTTTACTTTAAGAACCTACTTAATACTGATAGCAGCACATCAAACTCTGACATTGTGAATAAACTGGAGAATAGTGAAAAGAGTGCAAGTAGCAACCCCTATTTGGACAGACCAATCTTAAAAAATGAAATCACGAAAGCCATTAGACTTCTTAAAAGTAACAAGGCTTCGGCAAAAGATAGAATTTGCAATGAATTGTTAAAATATGGTGAACATCACTTATTAGATGCAATACATAAACTCTTTAATATTGTTTATAGTTCAAATAACTATCCACATTCTTGGAGCACTGGCCTGTTGGTACCAATCCACAAATCTGGGTCGAAAAATAACCCGGCCAACTACAGGGGAATTACCATCTCTAGCTGTCTTGGCAAGTTATTCAATAGTATCCTGAATATTAGGCTGACATCATTTTTAGGCTCTAATAACATTCTTTCCGGTCAACAGTTCGGATTCAGGCATGATTGTAGAACTACAGACAATCTTTTCATACTG